AAATGTTCAACTCATATGCTTGTCTTTTGTTTGGCTGGAAGCCACAGGTGTGGGTTTAATTCCAGACCTGAAGGGCAGCTAAGGGCCATAGTCTCAGTGGTTCCACCAGGCTCTATCAGACCAGCAAACCTGGTCCCCCACTTCCCCCCCTCCCAAATGATTTTGAGTTTTGTTCCACATTGTTCTGCCTCTCTATCCAGGATCTCCTACATAGATCCCACTCTGATTGGTTGACATTGGTAGCCAGGCACCATCTAGTTCTTCTGGTCTCATAGTCATATAAGCTGCAGATCACATGGTGTACCAGTGGCTAGGACTAATTGTTTCCATGAATCTTTGGTTTTCTTCATTCTTCTTTGCTCTGGACAAGGAGAGACCCATGTTGCATCTAGATGACTGCTTGCAAGCTTTTAAGGTCCCAGTCGCTACTTGCAAAGTCGGAGGTGGAACAATGTTTTGTATAGTATGTTATGCCAATTGAGCTTGATATCCCCTGCGACTATGGTCCTGAACCCACAGGTTCAACTACTTGGTCCTTCTGGGTAGCTGGCTGTGACCAAGAAATGACTACAACCTTGTCCCTTGTCAGCTCTACCATACAACTTGGAATTCTTACAGATCATACAAATATACAGTTGTCTGCTAACCATATACAGGGTACACTTTCTGCTTCATAGACATACCTAATAGTTCAGCCTGTTCACCCATCTGTCCACCCATATACCCATGTTTACCTTCACTGACAATGCAGTACTATATGTGCAAAAGGGTCATCTTTGTTGTCTGTACCTCCCATGTACCTCTTTCTGTCTTCCTCTTCCTCAGTGCCACCATGTTGATCACTCATATTTGGTACATTGCCCTTCTCTTCTCCCAAATCAATACTTACCTCTACTTGTCTAACAGTGTTTCCTCCTCTCCCCTCCCACCCCTGGTAACCAGCAAAGAAAATTTTCTTCCATAGATAAACCTTTCCTTGACTTTTATAATAATGGACTAATATAATATTTGTCCTGTGATTGACTTATTTCACTCAGCATAATGTCCTCCAAGTTCATCCATGTTATGCGGTGTTTTGCAGATTCTAAGTTATTCTTTAGGGTTGCATAGTATTCCATTGTGGTATGTACCATAGTTTGGTTATCTATTCCTCAGCTGATGGACACCTAGGTTGTTTCAATCTTTTGGCTATTGTAAATAGTGCTGCGATGAACATGGGTGTGCGTATGTTTGTTCTCCTCATGGCTCTCACTTCTTTAGGATATATACCTAGTAATGGAATGGCTGGGGCAAGTGGTATTTCTAATTCCAACTTTTTAAGGAATCACCATACTGCTTTCTACAGTGGTTGTATGATTTTACAGTTCCACCAGCAGTGTATGAGAGTCTCAATCTCTCTACATCCTCACCAGCATTTCTTATTTTCTATCTTGTTGAACTTTGATACTAGTGCTGGGGCAAGATGGTATCTCACTGTTGTTTTGATTTGCATCTCTCTAATGGCTAATAAGGAGCTCTGGTAGCGTAGTGCCTAAGGCACTTGACTGCTCACCAGAAGGCTGGTGGTTCAGACCCACTAGCCACTCCTCAGAAGGAAGGTTGGGCAATCTACTTCCGTAGTGATACTGCCTTGCAAACCCAAGCAGGGGTCACTATGAGTCAGGGCTGACTTGATGGCACATAACAACAATGGCTAATGATCATGAGCATTTCTACATATGTTTGTTGGCCACCTGAATATTCTCCTTGGTGAAGTGTCTATTCATGTCTTCTGCCCATTTTTTAATTGAATTATTTGTCTTTTTGTTATTGAGGTGTTGGAGTTTTCTATAAACTCTAGAGATGAGTCCCTTGTCATTGCCAAATATTTTTTCCCTATCTGTAGGTTCTCTTTTAACCCTTTTGGAGAAGTCTTTGGAAGCACATAAAAATTTAATTTTTAGAAGGTTCCATTAATCTAGTTTCTCTTCTGCTGTTTGTGCATTTTGGGTTATGCTTCATAGTCTGTTTATGCCATGTATTAGGGCCTCTAACTTTGCCCAGAGTTTTTCCTTGAGAAACTTTACAGTTTGAGGTTTCACATTTAAGTCTTTGATCCATCTGGAGTTAGTTTTCGTGTATAGTGTGAGGTACTGATCTTGTTTCATTTTTCTGCAAATGGATATCCAGTTTTGCCAGCACCATTTATTAAACAAACATTCTCTTCCCCATTTAATG